AGCTTCTTTCATGTCAGTGACTGGTCCTGGAATTCGTGGGTTTCTTCCCAGGACCCATTGCGCAGGCAAATACCCTTGAACTCTCTGCATTTAGTTCTTCATGGACGCGCGCTCATGAAGACGCGTCTTTTGCTACAGCTTCCGTGTCATGGATTGTTTTCCTGAAGATTGCTTTCAGAATTCCTTGGTGTCGTTCAACCTTGCCAATGGGCGAAGGGGTTTCCAATGGAGCGTAGAAAAATCTCAACTTCTCTCCCCTATTGTGAACTCCACGATCCATGATTGCAGCTTTTGGAAATCCAGCCCAGCCGACCTGCCTGCGCGCAAGCTTCTGATGTCGGCATTCCTCCACCTTCCTAGTAGTTGGAACCCACTTGAAATGTCCAACAGGGTCAAAACGCTAAATTTGTTTCCTGCGCGGTCCTTCATCTCTGCCACTTCGAGTCCCAGCATTGCGTTAATTAACTCCTGTGTGAAGTTGCTATTCCCTACCGGATGGTCACGTGGCTTCGGCGCAGTGGCTTCACAGGACTGACAACAGACAAGACCCGCAGCTTCGACCAACTCCTTGCTAGCCTTGCCTGCCTTCAAAATCTTCTTCAAGGTCGAGGGTGCAGGGTGTCCGAACTGACGACGCAGACGACGGACGGCGACGCGAGTTCGTTGTGGGAGCGCTCTCCAGTTGTCGTCTCTTTTTCTCAGTCACGTCGGCGCCTGGCAAAGCAAGTTGATCAAGCGTCAGATTCTCTTGTTCAATGGACCTAGTTCCTCATCTTGATCAGTGATCTGGGGGTTCTCTGGATCACTGTCATCAATCTCTGAGATGCCTTCAAGTTCATCTGCCACAAAACATGTCCGCGCAAAATGCTCCAAATACCAGCCTAGATGACTTGGCGCCTTCAAAAGACTTGGGCCTCAGCTTCTCTCGGCGCCATCCTTCCAGAGCCTCTGCGAGCTTGCTGCATTGTGGACCTGCCAATGCCATTTCAAGATCACCACCTAAACAAATTGAACCATCACTTGACTTGTCCATCTCAAGCAGTGGTGTGAATAGCAAAAGATTGCAGCTATACATGTCCACTTCCATCAGCAAGTCGTCCCACAGTCTCGAGGATCTGCGCGCTCTCGATACACAACAACCAAACCAGGCGTCTTGTTTGAGACATGTTTGATGACTTCCTTGCTTGTCTTGCTCCAACTGGCTCCTACATCAAACACCTTTGCAGTACATGACGAGGTGATCAAAAAAGTATCCTTGATTATGACCTTGTGCTCGACACTTAAAGGACTATTTGCAATGAGTGCGTTCAACACTGATTCTAACCCGGCCAACGTTTGCAATCCGGACACAACAAACTGTTTATCCTCTTTGCTCATAGTCCATGGTCCAGTGCCATGAATGCCCTTCTGAGTCAGAGCTCAAGTCGGTTCCCCTTCAAACTTCTTCATCAAGTACTCATCTTGCTCGACGTCCTCCCGTGGCAAGGGAAGTTTCTCTGGCGCGCTTACTGTGGCAGTTTCATCAAAATGCTCATCATGCGATTCCTGTCTGGGCACAAAAGAAACAACTGGTTCACCAACATTTGAATCCTCTGTCGCAATGCGTCCAAGAAACGGCTCAACAGGCTCCAACATGTCACGCGGCTCATCCTTGACGCTGCTCTTGTGAGATTCACCTTCACTCTTGGGCGCTGTCTTGGCTTTGGCTTTCGGAGCTCGACCACCTCTGGCTCCGGTCCATCATTTCCATCAGCATATTGGTCATCTCCATTCACATTGCCTTCTTCTCCATCATCTCCATCGTCTCCGTTGTCTCCGCCATCAAGTTCCTCCACTTGATCTCCGTCATAGGGAGGAGCAATCACCATGATGTGTCCTCTGCGTGAACCATCCATGCATGTTGGCTGCATGTCGGGGTGGGCTCTGAGCATGGTGATCTCCCAACGTTGCAATGCTCCTGCGCCTGTTCCTCCTGCCAGAAGCAAACAACTCCCGAACACCTGCCCTCCTTGTACGCATCGAATGCCTGATCTTGCTTCCTACGGTGTGTGCCTCCATCACACCTGGCAACTTCTTATTCGAAAGCATGAAGCCCAGGACAAAAGGAAATCGGCGTTTCCCTTTTGCGGTTGTGTCTCCAGCCGATCCACGGCACGCTTTCTCGTCTGACGGCAAAGCTGCAATGGTATATCCTGGCTTGTGGAACTTTGCTCACGCGTTCTCAATCCAGGCTTCACCACAGACAGTGGCGTTGCAACCTTCATCCAAAACAGCCCAGGCTCCAGGGTCTTCGCAAATGTCTACTACTTTGAGGGGGCTCTCTCAATGACAACTTCATTTAAGTCAGTCAATCCCATGTATCGGGCGCTCCCTCACAGACGGCCTCCACTGCGTGCGCCAAAATTCCGAACATCACGCCTGCATGGATGGGTTCATCGTGTTCAATCTCTGTTTCCAACTTTGAACAACTCCAAAACTTCCCAGGCGGCTGCTGCGTCCATGCATCAATTGTTGATCTCACGCTCAACAACTGAAGCAGCGGTGTCAAATGCATGTGTCTTCATGTTTGCAACACTCTTCGCCGTTGCCTCTCTCTTTCGCGCCTCTTCTCTGCGTGGGCATCTCATCGACCACGGCGCTGCACATCTTGCAATACACACGGGTCGTGGTTTTGGAACTGCCTCTACGGTCTGTTGCCTCACGTCTGTACTTTGCGGGGTCCACCGCAGGTTCTGATGACTTCTTCTTCTTCTCTGTCTTGCCACAGTCAGGACAGGTTTTGTTCTCAACAAATGCATTTGATCATCGACGGCATGGGACGGGGGCTTTCCCTTGGCTCGTTGCTTGTTCACACTTCTTCGAATGGCTTCTTCTGGCGTACCAACCAGGGGTTGTTCTCACAGTGCAACATCTCCACTCTCACTCGCCTCATAGTAGGTGGTTACCCAAGTCAGAAAATCTGCCAAACACTTGGAAGGATGTGAGATGTGGGTTCCCCATTGGTAGTATCCAGGGTACTTGAACACCACTTCGTGATACGTGAGACCTTCACGCTGACCAATTGAAGATGACAGTGTTGCCTCGACAAGCGAAAAGCTCGAAGGACTACTTGTGGCTCCTGACGACGTGGGCGCAGGCTCGGATGGATCAAATTCAAGCTTCCTTTTCGGCGACATCTTGTAGGCCATGTAACATGCGCTTTCTTTCTTGTCTGGCTCCGACGGCAATCATAATTACTCATTTTCCACTTCCGACGACGAGTCATCATCGCTCAATGCCTAGTAGGCTGTAGCTTTGCTGGTTGTCGACGATCCTCCAGGGGACTTGTTATACTTTGCTTTGGAAACTTGCACGCGGGGTCTCCTGCCCAGTGTCCGCTTCCACCACGCGCAAAAAGACACACAGCTTTCAATTTGGCAAGTCGTGCAATTCTGTCCTTCACCCTCAACTGTGCCCTGAACACGCGCTTACCTTTGCCTTTTCCTCTACCTCCTTTCTCGCCATAACCTCTGCCTTTGCCATGGCAGTCAGCGCAACTGCCGCGTCCATGTCTTCAACGAACTCTTCTTCTGGCTGATCTTCTTCCGCTTCAGCAATGTATGCTGTGTCCTCTTCTTCCTGAATCTCTGCTTCCGGCTCATATGAGTCATCGTACTCCCACGGCTCCTCTTCAACCATGTATGCGGTCGTCTGCCAACTGCGTCCCTTTCCTCCATGGTAAAAGGATTTGCCAGTTGACTTTTCCCTTTCCTTTGGACCTGTTCGTGTTCAGACTTCCAAACGCAGACCAACTCTTGAGATGAACCTGGCCGTGAAACTCCAACAGGAACTTTGCATAAGTGTCAAAGCTCTGATGGTGTCCAGCTGCGGTCTTGATCATCAACTGCTGTGTCTTGGCTAGTCCAGCTCCTTCTAGCAGTAGAACACCTCTCATTGGATCTGACAGGGCAACTCCATCATCCATCTCAAGCAACTTGCGCCACCAACGACGGCGCCTTGAGATGTAGCTTGTCATGCTCTCTGTCCCTTGACGTGACAAAGGCCCGCGCGGCAACTGTCCCACACCGAAAAGCTCACGTGCTTCTTGTTGACGTAGTGGAAAAACCTTTCGCGAATCCTGTCAACCAAGTCATCAATGCCAGTAGGTGTCAACAACTTCTCCAGGCCCAAATCCTGCGCTGCAAGGTGTGCATCGCCTCACAAACCTTCCAACACCTTGTGCGCGAGAATGGTGTCTCCTCCTCTGTGTCATCCAGCCCGGCTGTGCTCTGAGCTGGTGTCTCCTCTCTCGGCCTCCCGAATGCTTCCAAGTCCGGGAACGTCGCCTCTGATGCCTCCTCGTCTGCGGTCGCAGTAGTCGGCTTCGACGTGGACGCTCGGATGTGGCGGACGAATGGCTTCGACTCTCATGAGAGTTCTTCGCACTCTTTTGCTTGTACAAAGCAACGCGGACCTTCGTGCGAAACTCCAATTCGAAGCCATTTGGACTGCCACTGTAGATGTCTGATCCGCTCTTGGTCTCACGTGGTCCTGTGCCATTTTGAGAGGAAGTGTACCTCAGGCCAGCCAGCGACATTGCAAGGAATTTCTCTTACAGTCTCTGACTTGTTCTACGGTTCTACGGGTTCGACGGTATTGCACGCAGTAGTCGCGCAGTTGGGCAACAAGGTGGCTCCAGCGAGTCTTCTCCGGGTGAGTCAGGCTAAGAGGTTCCCCTTCTCAACCTGCTCCGCTACCAGTTTCAAACTCGGAGCGATCCTTTTCAGCGTACCGATTAGCTCAAGGCGTCTGATCCAAGCCGAAATGGCCACATGGCATGTTCACTGTACAACACACCCTGGCACAAACAGCTCAGAATCACACAACATTGCACGCGAAGAACATGATGCCGGATTAAAGCAGTAACAGTAACATATCAAAACCACTGACACGTGACAAAATGACTGCGCAGGAATCCTCCTCACTCACTTCAAGGAAAGAACTGTCTGCGGCCAACATACAATTGAGCGAATCAAAAAGGTGCCCGCACAGAAAGTGGTCACGCTGCCAGACATCAGCAAGTTGATCACCATATCCACGAGCCTTCCATGCTCCTTTTTGAAACAAGATGACCTTGGCTGAAACATGCTGAAACCAAACATGCAGGAACAGTTTAGAAAACCTCCGAGTCCCAGGTTTGGCCATGGACTTGCTTCTGCCCATCGTAAGCTCAAACTGCTTAGAATTCGCACATACTGACTGATCACAGTCTTGATTACATCGCAGGATAGCACGATTGTGGTCAGGATCTTGGATCTTTGAGAGTCCGCTATCATAATCAAGTGACAAATAAAACAATTCGACAAGAAATGCTCTTCTTTGGGCAACGTTAAAGTGCATACTTCCAACTCCCAAAAAAATGCACACCCCGATTTACCAACGGTTGTACTCTGGACGATGTTCAAAACGTTCACACTTGAAACTACAGAGGCTCCTGCAACCTTCTTCCCCTTCAAACTTTCACCACCTAGCTTCGTGAGATTGGTGAGGGACTGCCACATGAGGTAAAAGCAAGTGAGAGAACCCAAATCAAGGCTGTACTAAGCAAGCGACAGGTGATACACCACAGGAATCAACGACAAGATAATAGCGGACATCCCAAAAAAGGCCGCGATCTTCCTGAGCGCATTGTCCATGTAGTAACCACCAACTATGTAGTCTGCCTCGTTGAAGGCAAAGAAAAGGACCATTGGCACAAGCAGGCGAGTGGAATAGTGTGACGCAGGACCCAGAGCAGAGAGTACTTGTTGGCGTACCGCTTGACGAACATGCTGATTGCAGCTGTCAACATCCTCAAACCATTGCAGGACACTGTTCTCGACACACTCACGGTCGCGATTCAACGAGCATTCTGCTTCATGAATGGAGAATGCCTGCAGTTGCTTCTCCAAGGCATGGCGATCTCGTGAATACTGCCTTAAAACAGCAGTCAAAAAGTAAGTCGATGTCCAGCAGGAGATAAAAATGATTGCAGCATCTGGTAGAGGATTTCCGATGACTCTGTTGATCTGAGTTGTGCCAACGACAATGAATGCAACCATCCAACCCGACACACTGACATGGGCCAGAGTCAGCGGAATAATGTCCACAGGCAAAGATCCTTCTTCCTTTTTGGACGTCACGAGTGCAGCCATCTCCAGTGTGCACCAAAGCCTGAGATGTGGCAGAAGCTTGAAACACTATGGGCTGCCAAGCCAAGCCGCCCCTTTCTGGAATGTCCAAGACTTACTCAAACATGAAATAATTGTGTCACAACATGGCACAACAAGTTCATGGACAAAAAGCCGCGTAAAATATCGTGGGCTCCACAGCAACAGCAACCGCTGCGAGGCTGCGACAAATCCAGCAAAAGCTCGCACTCCCCTCCGCTTCAGGTCCGCATCTTTCTGATGGACACAAAACTTGTCGAGGAAGTAGTGGCGCCTGAAGCCAGATAGATCCTTAGAAGCCAAACGAACTCACTCAAAATGCGGCGAACTATCAGCAACGGTGAAGCCAAGCGTCGCGTATTTGATGCCACGTGCACAAAGCAAGGAAGAACGAAGCACAGCCCAAGAAGAATGCCCACGGGAAATGAAAAATGTCCATTCCGTCTGCCTTCACAACCGGTAGAACTTGCCAGTAAGTTAGGAGAGAAGACACAAGCGCCACCAAAATGGAAAGAATCACCGCTGCCCACAAATTGCTGTGGATGTACAGGGCAAAAACTTTGGCAACACGGCTGTCTTGCCAGCAATGGCTGATGAAGTAGTCAATCTTTTGCACTTCTGTGGATTTGCGGTACAAGGAGGTCGCCTGATCCTCCGTGAATGTTTGCGATAGACTGTTGGCACGTAGTTCAGTCCCAACTCGACTCAGCACAGAAGACAAGAGTGAAGCTCGAAGCAACTTCGTATCTTCAACTTCCAGTTTCAAGGGTTGGACGCTACCACTTCCAGTCTGTGCTGCACCGATTGCAATCGAGGCTTCTGCTGGTGACTCCCAATGACAAACTTCTGCTTCATCACCAAATGATACAAGGACATTCTCAGAAACTGGTGAAGCTTCCCCCGCAACAGGTTTCACTGGTTCATCGGGCGCTTGGGTTTCATCTTTGAACGCCTCAAGTTCATTCTGATAGGCTGGCGCCGCCTGAATACTGACAACCTCATGCTCCCACAGACTTTGGCAACACGCGTCTTGGCACGAAGTTCCCATGGCACAGCAAGGAGGTTCAGTTGTCCTAGTCCGCCTCGTCTCTACATGGCAAGTCCGACATCTGTGTTGCTGTATCTGTATCTGTGTCACATGTGAAACCTTGCCGACTGTCACCGTGTCCAGAATACATATGCCTCTGTTTGATGGCATCACAACTAACACTTCGGCAGAGCTGCAAATGGTAGGCATCGAATGTTGGCACAGCATGGATTACTGTATGAACTTGTGAATGGCAGTTTTCAGTCTGTCAAAACTGCCAGGGAACACATCCGTGTTTGAATAAAATGAACGGTCTCTTGGTGTCACACCGTTGCATGTTGTGGCATGCAGCGGCAAGCCGTTTCTCACTGCATGATGCGACGAAACGTCAAGTTGATGCGCTCATCCTGTGAGCAGGTGGAGCGGTGGCATCAAATGGTATTTAAACCGTTTAGACCTTGTAGCAACGACTGTTATCTTTGCAGCGCTCCTGGTTGCAAAAAATGCTCAATCCCCCCAAGGTATTTGCACAATCTGTTGCAAAAACGTTCTTGTTTCTTCTCAAACAGTTCATTCAAATGTTTCTCAGTGTCAAAAGGCGTTGATCTGTTGGAGTTCCACTCCTGCCTTCAAAGCTTTCCTGCGAGGCAAGGAATGCTGCCAACACTCTTGTGTTGCACCGGACATGACCTTGGCAAGTGAAAGAATGCATCGATAAAGTTTTGAAGCAATCACGCATGAGTGAAGTATCAACTGTTAGAAACATTTGGTGGTTGTTTTGGGCCATCTACCAAGAGGCTGCCATGCGCCAAGCGGACGCGGAGCCTATCTGTTTAATTTGGTGAACAGCTGTCAGCTGGCACGTTGAAGTCACTGCACTTTGTCTCTCGTTCCCTCCCCCTCTCTTTGTCACACACACACTCTCTCTCTCTCTCTCTCCCTCCCTCTCGGCAGACCAAACCATGTCTCGGCCTGGCGCCGCCGCCTTTGCCTGTCACCAAGTGCTTTCATGAGAGCCGCATTCTTACGAATCATAGCGCATCTCTGACAGCTAGGAGCTGTGATGCGAGAACCGCCTTCCCGCAAATCGAAATCTCTCTCTGCACCTAAAGTCACCTTAGACAAACAAGATGCGCAAACCTCTTCCCTACAGCCTACAGCTACTTTTGCCGGAGCCGAAAACTCAAAACCGATGGTGTTTCTTACATGTTGCTTTGGTACGCTACGGTGTCTTGCTTGACATGTGTGTACGCGTGTATATACAAAAAATACATGTATACACAACTTATGACATAGACATAGAGCTCTAGTCCAACGACCTTTCTCTGAGTTGAGACGAAAGCCAAAGTCTCCCTGCTCACCCAAATGGCACCGCTTTGTCTTGGTCGAACCCTCACTGCATCCCGCTGTGCTAAATCAGGATCCAGCGACCAGGTCAACTCCTGGATAGCTGTTACCCCTGTCCAACTAACTTCAAAGCATATTCACCACGCGGGGTTGCAATACAGGCTAGGCCCAGTCCAAAAAGCACTCACCCCCGACAAAAGAGGGATCGCACGCCGCTGTAAAGTTTGGAAACGTCCAAAACCCATGTTGTCATAGACGACTTGCCAGGGACCGGTCACTGCATGTCCTCCAACGCCTGCAAACCCAAGCCTTCCAAACCCAATGCACCATTATATAAAAACACAACCACCAGCCTTCTTTTCACGCGTTGCAGAGAGTTGGTCA